AAGGGGCCTTGGGCAAAGGCCCTATGTCAAGCCATGTGCCCGCCTCAAGGTATCATGGGGGTACCACTGAGGTTGAACCCCCTCAGCCCGGCCAGCGATCCGCCTCCAACTCCCGGGAGTGGCAGGGGACCCTGGCTTCTCCTTGGGCCCTGGTTGCCCAAAGCAGCCCCAGCAGCTAAAGAGCAAGCTGGCCGACAGGCACCGCAGGCGCCAGACTCGGCTAAGGCCCCAACTCCTAAGGGCAAGCCGATCATGAGGCTGCCCCATAGGTCCCTGGACCGCAGGCGTAGATCCTCATCTCTGGGGCCTAGAACTCCAGCACCGCATCCCTGGTCTCCAGTCAGAAGACTTAGGTCCCCGACGCTGCGCCCTCCCCCTACAAGACATGGGACACCAGAGTCAAGGTACCAGTCCCTGTACCACCAGTACCGACGAGCTTCCTGTCAAAGATTGCCACAGCGCAGGTCACCCTCTCCCAGACATGGGTCCCCCACTGGGGCAGGATCGCCTCTGTTGCAGCACCAGTCTGCAACCCCCCCGGTACCACTCATCGGCAGGCACCGATCATCACCAGGATCAGTCGGCAGACTCAGGCCTTGACAGCTCCGCCCCGGTTGCTGGAAGGTCAATGGTTGGACTCGGACCGGGTGTTCAGCCCCTCGCCAAGGAGGGGTGATTCACCGCCGACCCGTGAAGCCGGTGTGGCAGCTGCAGCGATGGCATGGCAGCAGGAACAATGGCCCACTTAATGGTCATACTGGAACCTTTGGGGCATGCCCGTTATGCCGGTCCCATATTCCCACCAGTTGTCCCTGGCTGCCTCGGACTAACCGCCCCCAGCACCGCCAGCACCGGAGTTGGAACACGGTACTAAATCCAACATGGGGACAGCACATCAGACTCAGCACCTAAGTTTGAAAGTTACAGATTTTGTGCCATAGAAATGAAAATATAATGTAGCTTATTCTTTATAAAGTGTATCTAAGATGCCTATTAGAATGTTTAATTATGAAGATGGTGCTATATTTTAAGAGACCTCACAGTATAAATTTAAAATAATCTAGGAATATAACCCAGGAGATCCCTTCCAGGTCCAGTACACTGTTATTGCAAACAGCCCCCTTATATAATTATGTAAATGACTATATCAAGCCCCAATTTAAAAGTAGTTAGGTTTCTCCCCTGTGCCCCCAACCCCACCCCCCAGTCCTACTTGAAGGCTGTTCCAGAACTTCACTCTTCTAGTCAGAAACCTGCTAAATTGCAGCCTAACTTTATTCATAGCCTGTTAATACACATTTGTTCATGTGGCCAACATTGTCCTCAAGCTTAAATAGCTCTTCTCCCTCTCTGATGTTTACTCCCTGACATATTTATAGAGAGCAACCATATCCCCTCTGTGTTCTTTTTGCTAGACTAAACAAGCCAAGCCTTTTAAGTTTCCTCTTGTAAAATAGGCTCTCCAAGTCTCCATTTCCTTGGTCATTTTAGTAGCCCTTCTCTGCACTTGTTCCAATATGAATTCTTTCTTGAACATGGGTGACTAGAATTGTATACACTATATCAAATGAGATCTTATCAGTACCTTGTACAAGGGTACTAATACTTCCCTATCTTTACTGGAAATACCTTGCTTCATACATGCTAGGCAAACACTTTCCTTTTTCACAGCTGCATCATTTTGATGGCTTAGTCATCCTGTGATCGACTAATACATCCAGGTCTTTCTATCCCTCTGTCATTATACTCGCTCCCATTAGCATCCTGCCTTTGCCCCCATGGTCTGCATCATCACTCTTATTGAAAACTGGGACAACATATTCATTTAGTTTGTGAGCCATACCTAGATTGTTTAATCTCTATCCCACTGGTTTTCAACTTGTGGTCCACAGACCCCTGGTGGTCTGTAGACTGTCTAAGATTTCCAAAGGGGTCTGCAACTCCATTTGAAATCTTTTAGGGGTTCACAAATGAAAAAAGTTTGAAAACCACTGCTCTGCCCCATAGCAGCCCTACTTCTTTTCTAGTTCTCTTTTTATTTATATTGGTAAAAAAACGTTTTACTATTAGTTTTAATTTCTTTTGCAAGGCCGAAGTAAGGCTTGCCTTAAGCTCATTAAACTACTATGAGACTTAAACAGGATTTCCTGTTGATAGAGATACATACCACGCCCTTGTAAGATATCCGTTTTGGAAGGATTCACACCACAATACAAAACTCTCCCCCACTCCCATAAGTTATACGTGTTTAAAATAGTGGTTTTTTTGTGATAGATGAACTTCCTTTTACATTTGGAGCTGTCTTGCTTCAGATTTCACAGTGATCTACAGCAAATTTTGTAACTATTAAGATTCCCATTTCTCATTATGGAGGCTTATTTTTTTGCTCAGCATAACATATCTCAATAATCAGACTGATGTGCAGACTGAAGGAAGACTTTTACACATCATGTTCTTTACAAGACTTATCTGACAGTGTTTTAATTTTTACATGCAGCTAGTTTTTCCATATTTGCTGTCTTGTAATATATTTAACTTGCTATAACCATGTTTAGTTGTGCTCTATGGTATGTTGCTTTGTTTTGACTAATTTCTTCTGTTTGTCTCGCCAGCATTCTACACCTCTGACTTATCTGATCTAAATCTGTAGCAACAGCATTGTCTTGTTCAATATTACCAGCATCATACCTGTTTGAGCATGCCAAACTGAAATTACTCATTTAAATTAAATGGAGAAAATTGCATGCATTCATGCATCTACTTGTCATAAGATGAATTTTCCAGTTCTGGCATTACAGTAATATGACTAATTATCACTGACATTTGTTTGCTTCTGCCATAGGTATAGTGTGACTTTAGGTAAGTCTACACTGCAACAAAAGACTCTTGGCACAGCTGTAACTGGTCTGAGCAAGTTGACTCAGGCTCACAGGGCTAAAAATTGCAGTGCAGATGATAAGGTTTTGGTTGGAGCCTGAACTCTGAGACACCATTAGGGAGGAGGGTCTCAGAGCTTGGGCTCCAGCCTGAGCCCAGATGTCTGTGCTGCAATTTTTTGCCTCACAGCCCAAGTCCTGTGAACCTAAGTCAATTGACCTGGGCTCTGAAACTGAGTGCTGCGGATTTTTTATTGCAGTGTAGATATACCCTTTAACTCATATTTAAAATAGTAAGTTTGTGTTCCTAATTTTATGAATGAAATTGACATTCTTGAAAATAAATACTTAAATGTTTTACAAAGGCAACTGCAGTTTATGCATCAGTTTAAAAAGTATTACAGAAGGATAAGGTTCAACCATCCCTGATAGTAATTCCACACCACTAACCAGCTACCTTTTGAGAACAACATATTAACTTTCAATCTCTAAAAACTGTACTCTATAGAGTCCATATCCCCATAATGTGGCCAATGTAATTGACGTCAAATTTCAGAAACCAAATGAACCATAATTAAGGCTATGTTTTAGTCACAGGTATTTTTAGTAAAAGTCATAGACAGGTCACGGACAGTAAACAGAAATTCACAGCCTGTGACCTGTCCATGACTTTTACTATATACTCCTGCCTAAAACTTGGGGGTGGTGCTCGGGGGGGCGGAGGGCGGCGGCGCAGCGGGTGCTAGGGGGTGGACGCCGTGGGTGCTCGGGGTGGGGGTGGGGGAGGGAATTGCAGCCTGGGAGGTGCTGGGGGGGGTGGTTGGTGGGGCTGGGGCAGATTCCCTACCCAGCTCCAAGCTCCACCTGCTGCCTCTGATCCACCCTAAGCCCCGGTCTTGCAGCTCCCATTGGCTGGGAACTGCGCCAATGGGAGCTGCGGGGGCAGTGCCTGCGGGCGGAGGC